GGTGCTGTCTGAGGATGTTTCATGAATTTCTGCATCTTGTAGATGGTACACACTACTGCTACAGAGCATCGGTGATGGAGGGAGTGGATATCTGTGGATGTCATGCCGGACAAGTGGGCTGTTTTGTCCTTGATGGTGTCAAGATTCTTGAGTGTTTTTGGGACTGCACTCATCCAGACAAGTGGGGAATATTCCATCATACTCCTAACTTGTGCCTTGTAAATGGCGGACAGGCTTTGAGGAGTCAGGAGGTGAGTTACTCACCACAGTATTCCTAGTCTCTGACCTACTCTTGTAGCCACTGTGTTTATGTGGTGAGTCCAGTTGAGTTTCTGGTCAATGATAATCACCAGGATGTTGATAGTGTGGACTCAGTGACGGTAACACTAATGAATGTCAAGGGGCAATGGTTAGATCATCGCTTATTGGTGATGGTCATCGCCTGGCATTAATGTGGCGTGAATGTTCCTTGCCACTTGTCAGTCCAAGCCTGGATATTGTCCAGATCTTGTTGCATTTTGAACATGGACTTCAGTGTCTGAGGAGTTGCAAATGTTGCTGAACATTGTGCAATCATCAGCGAACATTCCCACTTCTGGCCTGATGATGGAGGGAAAGTCATTGATGCAGCAGCTGAAAATGGTTGGGCCTCGGACAGTACATCAGGAATTCCTGTAGTGACGTCCTGGAGCTGAGGTGACTGACCTCCAATGACCATAACTATCTTCCTATGTGCCAGGTATGACTCCAGGGAATTTGCCTCCTGAAACCCATTGATTCCAGTTTTACAAGGGCTCCTTGATGCCACACTCAGTAAAATGTAGCCCTGATCTCAAGGGCTGTCACTCTTACCTCACCTCTGGAACTGACCTCTTTTGTCCATGTTACAACCGAAGCTGTAATGAGGTCATTTCATCATTATTCATCACAATTGACGACACCTTCCATCATTTTACTGTTGATCAAGAGTAGACCAATGGGACAGTAATTGCCCAAGCTAGATTTGTCCTGCTTTTTTATATATAGGACAGATCTGGACAATTTTTCACATTGTCGAGTAGATGCCAGTATTGCACTGGAACAGCTTGGATAAGGGAGCGGCAAGTTCTGGGATGCAAGCATTCAGTACTATTGCTGGAATGTTGTCAGAGCCCATAGCCTTTACAGTATCCAGCATCTCCAACTATTTCTTGATATGGAGTGAATGGAGTGTAATGCTGTGGTTACTGGAGGAGGCCAAGAAGGATCATCTACACAGCATTTCTGGCTGAAGATTGCTGAGACAGCTTCAGCCTTATCATTCCGCCAGGAGGGAACCCCACATGCAGTAGATGCTACTTGAGAATCCTAAAGAGGGCGCTGCGAGTGCCTCGTTAGTTACTAACCTGAAATGTTGACAGGAGTAGGATTTCAATTCACACTTTCATTGAGATTGAAACACCAATGATTCGCTTCAGATCACTCAGCCAGGCCACTTCATTTTAATGTACCCACTGCTTTGACTGGGATTGATATTGAATTATAGTCAGAAGGATACTATTTGACATCTCCATTCTGTTTAAAATAAAACGATAGGGCAGGACTGCCAATGACACCAATATTAATTTCCAGATCCCACAAACCCTGAGATGATACAAAAACAGAAATTGCCACAGAAACTAAGCAGGTCTGGCAGCATCTGTGGAGAAAGAAACAGAGTTAACGACTTGAGTCCATTGAACCTTCAGAAGTCTTCAGAGCCCCTAAACACCTCAGAGATGACTTGGAGGTGCTGGTGTTGGACTGGGGTGACATTCTATTTTGTTCAAAAAGTACACAGTTTATAGACAGTCAGTCAATGTGGTGTTTTATAAATTCCGACTTTAGAAATAAAACCAGTCTGACTCCAAACCAAAACACAAACAGATTCGAAACAAAGCTTCACATCTAACATGCATTGTCTGACCTAAAATGTTACCTCTTTTTTATACTGATAAAATCTTTAGTTCTCTGAGGACATTGACTTGAAACGAATTCGGGGATTTACATATACATATTAATCTATTAAAACCGTTTGACTGATTAAAGATTTAACAGCATCTTATGTTGTTTAATATATCCTCATCAGTGGCGTGACCCTTTGATCGTTTACTTAGAAATTCAGTGTCTGATACCATCTCTCTCACCAACAACTGAAGAAGGAGCAAGGCTAAGAAAGCTTATGTTTTCAAATGAACCTGTTGGACTATAATCCGATGTCGTGTGATTTCTGACCGTATCCACCTCAGAGATGACGGTAATGATCGATCAATACAATTTGATGATTGACTCATTATTTCAGCTGGTTACCTTCCTGCATCACAGTCAATCACATACTTTCTCTATTGTCCTTGTTACAGAGTAGTTCCTGACTTTACAATCAGGAAATGCCCAAATACCCACCAGTTCATTCAGCCTCTGTGGGGAGAGAGTAAGAGAAATAACATTTTAGCTTGAAGGCCTTCCATCAGAACTGACCTAAGTGAGAGTTGCAACAAGTTTGAAACAATCCAATGATGGGGAAGGGGGAGAAGACCAGAGAATTATAGAGAAGTTCTGTGACAGGGTGGAGGACAGGAGAGACTGAATAAAAACAAAAGGAAGATGGTGAAAGGCAGAAGGAGATATGAATGGAAAAAGTGAAGAAACAGAAGTTGGCAGAATCGTTCTGGACCAATCAGTTCTCTGCTCTGAGATAGTTTTAATTCTCATTCACTCAGAACTCTTCTGACTCACACTGAAAACTCACATCCTTTCGTTCCGTTACTGGGAATAAACATTTCATTATCCAAACACAAGCAGGTCACATGGGATGATCTGTTTTTGTTGTGGTGGATAACATTAGAGAGGGCATCAGTGATGTATTTCCCCCAACCTTCTAAATTAGTTAATTTTGGTTTGGCTCCATTTGACATGGACCCACTACTATTAGTCCCCTCAAAGAGTCACCATTCATAGTCTGAGACTCTGAGCAGATTTCTTGGTCCAGGGATTGGGGTAGAACTTGCCATTTGAAAGTGTTATCATTTATTGCACATGAGGCTGCACCTACAAACTTGTTTCTCACCCTTCCAATGAAGTGGAAACAGTTTTCACCCAGACACCAGCAACTAAGATATTCACAAAAGCAGCAGGAGAAAGATCTTGCTTGAGCATTGACACTGCTAGAGGAATGAAATGCTGGGTGTCAACTCAGAAATTCCAAAGTAAAGGTGCCCAGTGTGGGGGTGAACCCATGATTCTGAGATTAAGAGTCTCATGCCTGACTAATTGAACTAGCCAAGCACGTTCACTAGTGAATTAATTTCTCCTTTTATCCTGAGATTAAGAGGCATATATGTTCGCAATTTAATTTTACCTTTTTCATATCCACCTGAAGTCTCTGAATTTCAAGGTGCTGAAGTTCATCAACCTAGAAAATCCCAAAGTCACTCTGTCAGATGGTGAATAAATCTGTGAATCTGCTTCAAAAAAATCCCTGTCATTTCTGTTACAGACTGTAAGAAATGTTCATCTGCCTGCCGAGTCACAATTAACACAATCAGCACTTCCTTTGTTCTGTGTTAGCAACTTCTGCCATTTCTCATTTGGGGCTGTATTCTCAGAGTTTGGATAAAGAGGTTCTAAGGACAGGAATAATCTGCTGCAGCTGTTGTCAAATGCTCCTTTCACACAAAGAAAACCATTCACGAGGAACAGATTTCCACAAGTTGTACCAGCCAAGATTTCCCCATTGAAGCTCAGAGAAAGATTCACTCACTTGAGGATTGCATACATGACCAGAAGACTGGGATTTCAGAAAATCAAAGAAAGATTCACTCACTTTCAGAAAGCACTTTTCATCACCAGTGGACATCTCAAAGCATCTTCCAGCCAAGCAACTCCTTTCAGAAGTGTGAATGTTGTTGTAATATTGGAAACACAGCAGCCAAAGTCTGCTCAGCAAACCCGCACTAACAGCAAGTTCAGAACAAACACAGAATCTGTTTTGTCATTTTGATTAAGGGGTAAACACTACCCAAGACAGTGGGGGGTGTTGTGTTTCTATAGTGCAGTATCGCTTTCATCTAACACTCAGAGAAACAGTGGTGCTCCCTCATTATCTGGCAAGGCATGCTGCCTCCACCTGCTGGTAGAAGCGAATGGAGACCACTTCTTGAATGACACGTTGATCCAGTAGTTAGCCATCTTCCATCACAGCACCACGGACCTGTCTGTGTGGTGTTTGCATGTTCTCCCCGTCTCCAGTTGCCTCCCACAGTTGAAAGATGAGAAGGTTAGGTAGATTGGCTGCACTAAATTGCCCCATAGTGTCCAGGGATGTGTAGGCTAGTGGGATTAGCCATGTGCAATGTGGGAATGGAGTGGGTCTGGTTGGAATGCCCTTCAGAGGGTTGGTGCAGACTGGATGTGCCAAATAGCCTCTGTCTGCAATGTAGGGATTCTATCTCCCCTGCTCTTCCTTCAAATAGTCTCATTGCACTTTTGACATTCCAGCACCTCAATTCCATTTAGGTAAGATCTCAGGTGAATATTCGGCACCTTACGTCCTTGTGGCCTACAGGAAGGACAATGCAACCAGTTGCAGTGTTCTACCATTTTCTCTCATGCTGCAGTCAGTCTTGCCACACCTCCGGGTGAGCTCTGTCACAGATTATTAATTTGGCTGGTAATATCAATCAAACAGATTATCGTCAGTAAAAGCAGGAATCAAATGTCATATGCCTCAAGCCTGCTGTGCCACTTAATAGGATCCTAACAGATTTCCAAAACTCAACATCCATTTCACCTCGATTCCCAGAGGAAAGATGTAAAACACCTTCCACTTTTGTCTGAAGATTTCTCAAACATCTATTTTCTCAAGGAAAGAACTAAATGTGTTTCAACAAAACGTGCCGGAGGAAGTCAGCTGATCTGTCAACGTTTGTGTCAAGAGAAACAGAATTAACATTTTCAATTTGACATGACTCTTCCGGCAGCACTTTTCCATGGCTTATTGTATTTATTTTACATCCAAAGGTAACTCATGGTTAGGGTGTGTAAAATAATGCATGGGGATGTGATTGAGGTAGCAGTAAGGGGAAAAGGCAGTAACATGAATTTAGGTTAGATGGTCATTTGGAAATCTGCCATAGTCACAATGGGATGACCAGACTCTTTCTACACACTAACAAATCTGTGATTCTTACAAGAGATGTATACTGCATCATGATATTAGACTCTGGTTCAGGTAAATGTCAGTATAATCGATCTGGAACAATGTAATTTGGTGGTCCCGTTTCATTTTGCACTCCAAAAAAGCATGTGAACACAAATTGTCAGTCTATTCCATGGCGGTGACCCTACCCAAAGGACCATGCAGTTAAAAACGTCCCATATCAAGATAACAGGAGCGTAGTGCACAAACACAGAGCTGATTACAAAAAGAGTATGTACGAAGCAAGTGGTGGTAAGAGAGATGGTTTCGGTTTTTTTGGTTCCACAAATATTGCAACTGAGACAGAAAGGAAAGAGCGATGGTTCGGGCAAATGAAAAGGCTTTGTGAACATTTTGTGAAACCTGCAAATCTCAAATAATAAAACCCTGGTCCCCGTTCACAACAAACGGGACGATGGCTTCAGGCTTCGTCCCAAAGACTGGCCCAGGGAATGGCCGCTATTTTTATTGGGGGGGGGGTCAGTAAGTATCAGGGCACATGCGCAGTTCCTATGTTTGTCGGGGAGAATGTTTAGAATGACTGGGCAGAGCTTGCTGCCCATGGTTCAGAATGGAGACAACTTGTTCATCAAACTACATCAGTCTCTCACACCCAATGTCTTATTGATGAGGTAGAGTGACAGCACAGAAGTAAAGAAAAGGAAGCAAATTTTGCTCTCTGGAACCCCTACCTCTAACAGTCATAGCCATAGAGTTATACAGCATGGAAACAGACCCTTCATTCCAACTCATCCGTGCCAACCAGGAATCCTAAACTGATCTAGTCCCATTTGCCAGCATTTGCCCCATGTTCCTCTAAACTCTTCCAACTCAGCCCTATCCATTCCTCTTAAATGTTGTAATTATACCTGCCTCCACTGCTTCATCTGACAGCTCATTCCATACATGCACCACCCTCTGTGTGAAAAATACTGCCCTCAGGTCGCTTTCAAACCTTTCCCCTCTCACCTTAAACTATGCTTTCTAGTTTTGCACTCCTCTACCATGGAAAAAAACATCTTGGATATTCACACAATGAGATGTCCTGCTCCAAAGATCTGGGGCTATCCTCAGTCACAATTCCCAGGTCAGAAACTCACCACCCTGAGTATATGTCACCCTTGAATCGAGGGACTGCCAATCACGGTGAGTAGCAATGTGGCCTAGAAAGCATACATGGTCATCCTAGGACAGGGGACAATGTTGAATTTCTCCCCTGGACTGATTTCAGAACATCCTATGATGACGGTCAGAAGGGGAAGATTTACACACAACAAACCTAAACCAATGCAAATGTTGTATCTTCTGAACTTCTATCCAGCCTCATTGGCAGGATATTTCAAGATAACTGGTATCGGGAAATTGCAAACAGGCATCACAATAAGCATCAAACAGGACTGCTCGAATCATCAAGATATAGATGTTATTTTTCGTTATAAGCATGGAGTTTCAGTCTTTACTTATAGCTGCAAATTATTTCTTCCTCACATCATCCCTGTAGATCTTACCCAAAATCTTCAATCTGGGTCCTGTAACGCATTTACTGTCAACTAAAGTGAAAATTGTTTTCTTTATCTATCTTACGTGGGATGTGGGGTCGCTGGCTAGCCAGCATGTATTGATCATTCCTAGTTGCCCTTGAGAAGGTAGTGATGAGCTGCCTTCTTGAGTTACTGCAGTTCATGTACTGTAGGTTGATCCACAATGCCCTTAAAGAGGGAATTGCAGGATTTTGACCCAGGTACAATGAAGAAACTGTGATATATTTCCAAGTCAGAATGATGAGGAAGTTGTATTCCTATGCTGCCACTGTCTTTTTAGATGGAAGTGACCATGGGCTTGGAAGGTTCTGTCTATGAGGTTTTGGTGAATTTCTGCAGTTCATCTTACAGCTATGGTTGGAAGCTTGTCATGAGGTGAAACATTTGCCATAGTAGTGAGCAGTCTGGTTCAGTCTCCAACAGTTAGCAGAGAGAGGGGTGGACTCCGTGATGAGGGAGTGAATATTCTAGCAGGAAGGGAAGGGAAGGAAACAGTTTCAGACTTCCCAATAATTAAATGGAGGAAATTTCTGCTCATCTGATCACAGCCTGAATTGAAGATTATGATGTTCACAAGCATCTGCTACCCAGGTCCTGTTGGTTGTGGAAATTGAGGGTGTGGTAGATTCTGTGAAAGTTCTCATTAAGTGGTGGATATATAAAACACCTCTCCTTCAACGTTCCCACTTGTTTTCTGTCCATCTCTCTCCTTGCTTCTGCACACTCTCTGGTCAGAACCTGGCTAGGTCCAGCCGCGTGGTTCACTGATGGACATTAGTGAACCAGTTGAGATTTTGAGACTATCATGGTCACCTCTCCTTGTATAGACCTCACAAACTACAAAATTCATTCAATTTTACAATCTGCCTTTGTGTTTTTGTTCATTCTTTCTCACTGCCTTTTTCTATTTTAAATAAATTACACATGGTATAAGAGGAGGAGGATTTACAGTCAGAAATCAGACATCACATCAGAATCTGCGGGAGTTGGTCAACTCATTGTAACCGGAGAATCATGGGATTTTGAACATGAAAGGAACAAGCACCGTTCAGAGAGGGGAGAAACTGTACACTTGTGTGTGTGTGAGAGGTTTCAGTAAATCATCTGACCTGTTGAGACACACGTGCGGTTACAACAGGGAGAAACTGTGGACATGTTGGTGACTTTAGGAAAGGATTCAGAACCCCATCTCAGCTGGAAATACATCAGCACAGTCTGAGTGTGGGAAGGGATTCACTGCCTCATCACAACTCCACAGGTACCAGTGAGTTCACTTTCAGGAGTGGCTGTTTGCTTGTTCCAAATGTGAAAAGGTTTCAATCAGGCAAAAGAACAGCTAATACTTCAGAAAAGCTACATTGGGCATTGACTGTTCACCTGCTCTGAGTGTGGGAAGGGATTCACTCAGTCATTCAGCTTTCTGACCCACTAGAAGTTCACACACAAGAGAAACCATGCACTTGTCCTGAATGTGGGATGGGATTCACTCAGTCATCCCACCTGATAAGAAACCAGCAGATTCACACTGGAGACTGACCATTCACCTGCTCTGAGTGTGGGAAGGGATTCACTTGGTCATTCAGTTTGCTGACACACCAGGCAATTCACACTGGGGAACAACCATTTAATTGCTCCAAATGTGGGAGAGATTTCACTGATGATGTTACCCAGCAGGGTAATGAAACGCCTGTGGAACAACGAAGCAGCTTGGCGAGCCAACCAACCACAACACCCACAACCCGAGCTACAAATCTACTCAAAAATCTTTGAGATTTCACTTTCTTCGGTTCTTCTCAGGCACCAGCAAATTCACACTGATGAAAGACTTTTTAAAAAAGACCGGAGTGTGGGAAGTGCTGTAAATGTTTCTGGGACCTGATGTGCCATCAATGTGTGCACACTGACAAGAAACTGTTCAGGTGCTCTCACTCTGAGAATGGGGTCGGGTGATCATCTCAACTCACTGTACATCAGCGTGTTCACAGTGAGGTGAGACTGTACAACTGATCCCAGTGTGGAAAGGAATTCCCTCAGTTATCCCACCTGCTGAGAGACCAGCAAGTTCACAAGTAACCACAGTGATTGAATTTTATTGTTACTTCAAGATCTGGGATGGTTTATAATCGATACGGAGGAGATATGAGATTTTGCCTGTCCTGAAAGCTGCTCAGGCACTGGGATTGCATAAGGTGGATCCAAGGATACCGAGGAAGTGAGTGGAATTTGCTGAGGGAGTTATCAAAGGTATACAGCAGTAGGAGATTTGCAGTAAACACCTTCATGGCAACAGAAAAGGAGTGGATGGAGTATGTGGCTGGGGAGACTTTAGAAACAGCCACCGGCACTGGCTGTAAACACTTCCGCAACCAGGTCCAGTTTAATGGCCCCACCGTCATTCAGAAGTCAGCACAGCACATTCACAACTCTCTTGTTCGCACAGTTCCACACTATCCTCCTCGCAAGTCACAAATCTTCCAGTTGTGTTCTCTGCAAATTTTGAAGTTGTGCTCTCTACATTGAGGTCTACATCAATAAAATATATATCAAACTAAACCATGCAGAACTTCACTAGAAACCGTCCTTCAGTCCAAGCCCAACTGTTAACAGCTACCCTGTTTCTGGTCACCCAGGCAATTCTATCTCCATGCCGCTCCTATCACTTTTATTCTATGAGCTCTAATTTTCCTCACAATAGTTATGCAGCATTTCATCAAATGTCTTTTGCCAGTACATGTTCAACACAGCAATTGCATAGCTCACAAAGATAATACTCAATGATTTGTTGCCATGAGTGGATCATTTGGTAGAACTGGAGTTGCTGGACTACAGCTGGGATCTCTGTGTTTTATGTTTCTATCTCATTTCTGCTTCACTTTTGATTTCCAAGTTAACAGGAACTGAATTGTTACTATATAAACATTGCTTTAAACCTAAGTTTTTGTTTCCAGTCATGACTAATTAACTCCAATTGATCAATAATATTAACAATACATTGACTCTATTTCCGAGGATCTGTTTTGTGCGTATCATATCTAAAGCTGTTGGTTTGGTTAAATACCATCTTCCACCCCTAATATATTTTTCTTAAAGTTGGTCTTCAGTAGCTAAAACAAAACCATCTGTACTGATTTTGATGATCCGTGACATACATTCCTGGACAATGAATGACCTTACATGGGGTGACCAGTAAAATGGAGTGTGGCTGATGGGACAGCTTCCACGAGACACACCATCATAGAGTCACACAGCACAGAAACAGACCCCTTGGTCCAACTTATCAATGCCGAACAGACATCCCAATCTTACCTAGTCCCATTTGCCAGCATTTGCGCCATATCTTTGCCTTTTCGTATACCCATCCAGATTTTAAATACTTCAACTGCACCCACCTCCACCACTTCCTCTGGCAGCTTGTTCCTCCGACATCCCAATTTCTACGCTCAAATGTTACCATCAATGACGGCAAGCATGCCTTTTTCACCACACTGTTTATCTGTGACTCCACTTTCAAAGATCTATGCACATGCAACCCTGGGATCTTGGAGCTGTCAGTATACATGTGAAAACTGACAGTATTTCCAGATGATGTTGCTGTAGGAACATGCCAATGAGAAATGACAGGTGGGCAAAACTTGATCCTTTGGGGACATTCGAGGGACCTATTGGAATTGGAAAGGAAACAATAGCTAGTGATATTCTATCTACAATTAGATAGAGAATAATGAGACTACATGACAGCAGCTGAGCAACAGTCAAGAAGCCTTGGAGACGAATGGTGTGGTCAACATTGACAAAGGTTGCAGACTGGTCAAGAATGATGAGAAGTGATAGTTTTCTTTTCAGTCACAGTTACATATGATATTATCTGTGGCTTTAACAAGAGTTTTTTTCAATACTGCGCCAGGGCAGAAACCGGATTTCAACGTTATAAACATTAACCTCTAGTAAAGGACAGGGCTTTGGGACATGAAATATTCAAGAGAGTTAGCAAGGGAGTTTGGAGATTGGACAGTGATTTGCTCAGACAGTGGAGTCGAGGTTTGTAGACAAGATGATCATGTCAGATTTGAAAAAAAAAGTCAGACAACACCAAAGAGGGAGAAGCAGTGATAACGATACCATCAAAGAGGTGAAAATTACATCAGGATTTTAGTCAAAATTCGCTTGATGAATCAGGAGGTGTGTCTCATGTCCAAGATGAACACAGACTGGTCGTGAGAGCAGATGACAGAGTAACTGAAGAAAAATGTGGATTCAGTGCTTGGGCAAGGGGGATCTTTAGACACAGTCTGGTTCAGTGGGCGAGTTGGAGACAGCAAAGCAGCTGATTGGATTGTCTAATTGTCAGTGACAGAGAAGCTCAATGAAGTGCACACACTTGTTGGAGGGGAGGATGGAGGAAACAGGGGAGAGGAAGAGCCTTTCAAAATAAATTAAATTGTGTTAGAAATATTAAAAATACTTAATGCAGTGTGTTTAATACAAAGCTTATTTATTTGAATTTTATCTGGAACAGTCACCCCAATGACTGGGCTCATGTATTTTAACATCAGCAGAAATAGATACTAATGAACATGGCTCAGTCCTGGATGTAATTAACACTAATATTCAATCAGTGTCATTCTTTGTGAATTTACTGGTCTCTCAGCAACTATGATGAGCTAAATCAATACTTTTACATCAATTTCTAGCAGGTGAATGGTCTCTCCCTGCTATGACCCCTCTGGTGTACTGTGAGATTGGAGGACTGAGTGAATCCCTTCCCACATTCCAAGCAGATGAATGGTCTCTCCCCAGTATGAACTCGCTGGTGTGCAGTGAGGTTGGATGACTGAGTGAATCCCTTCCCACATTCAGAGCAGGTGAACGGTCTCTCCCCAGTGTGAACTCGCTGGTGTACAGCAAGGTCAAATGATCGCCTGAACCCAGTCTCACAGCGCGAACACCAGAACGGTCTCTCATCAGTGTGAACACGTTGGTGGGACTTCAGATCCCCCAGTCTTTTGAAGCACTTCTCACAGTCTGAGCATTTAAAAGGTCTCATGTCAGTGTGAACTCGCTGGTGTTTCAGCAGGTCAGATGTTTGAGTGAATCCCTTCCCACACTCCGAGCAGGTGAACGGTCTCTCCCCAGTGTGAACTCGCTGGTGCACAGTGAGTTGAGATGATCGCTTGAATCCAGTACCACAGTGAGTGCACCTGAATGGTCTCTCATCAGTGTGAACACGTTGATGGGACATCAGCTCCCCGGAACTTTGGTAACTCTTCCCACAGTCTGAACATTTAAAAGGTCGCTCCCCAGTGTGAATGCGCTGGTGTATCAGCAGACTGGATGATGTAGTGAATCCCTTACCACAGCCAGAGCAGTTGAACGGTCTCTCCCCAGTGTGAACTCGTTGGTGTACCAGCAGACTCTGTAAGTGAGCTAACGCCTTCCCACATTGAGAGCAGGTGAACAGCTTCTCTCCAGTGTGAGTGCGCCAATGAATTTCCAGCTCAGATGGGTAATTGAATCCCTTCCCACAGTTTGTACATTTCCATGGCTTCTCCCCATTGTGACTGCGCTGATGCTTTTCCAGCTGGGATGGGTAATTGAATCCTTTCCCACATTCCCCACAGTTCCACAGTTTCTTCTGGGTGCGACGGCACTTGTGACTCCACAGGCCAGATGATTGGCTGAAGCTTTGTCCACACATAGAACACGTGTTAAGTTTCTCAGCATTGTTAATGCTTTTTATCTCCATCTTCAAATCTGATGATGTTCAGGTTGCAATAAATTGCATTAATCCATCAGAATCTGTGATTTCAGTTTCCAGACACTAAATCGTCACTTTCCAATCAATATCCTGTAATATTGATGTAAAACAGAAAAAAAAAGTGACAGCACAGAAAAAGAACAAAGACAATTATTGAGATTGAGCTGAATGAATCTGAATTTACAGAGCTTAACTCAGAAAACGTGACCATGAAATTTGCTGAATTTGTTATGAACAACCTAATTGGTTCAGTTAACGTCTTTCAGGGAAGTGAATCTACCACCCCGTCTACCAAGATACGCTCCTGGAACAATAGCATCTCAAATAGTAAACTTGCATCCTTGTTTCGCCGTGTCTATTTCCATGAGTTCCTACAGACAGAACAGACAAGGTTGAAACTTTCCACGGCCAAAGGCATTGAGATGCTCATGAATCGGGTGAAATCCCTTTTGGACAACCTATAAAGGGAATTTATACAACGAAAATTCCACACAGTCAGTTCAGGATAGATTCAGAAGGGACACACATTGTTCTTGGTTTGAATTTGCTGAAGAGAAACCCTGTCCTTCAGCCTTGTCAAAGCAAGGCTGGAGAAGTCGCTCTGCTGCGCCTTGCCCCCTACAAAGATGGCAGCCGCGCATGGAACATTGCCCTCGACAAATGTTTTGCCGTTTGCTGCAAACCGGATCACGAAAGTGAATCAGAGATAGTAGGAACTGCAGATGCTGGAGAATCCGAGACAACAAGGTGCAGAGCTGGATGAACACAGCAGGCCAAGCAGCATCAGAGGAGCAGGAAAGCTGAAGTTTCGGGTCTGGACCCTTCTTCAGAAAAGGGGGAGGGGAAGGGGGTTCTGAAATAAATAGGGAGAGAGTGGGAGGTGGATAGAAGAGGGATAGAGGAGAGGATAAGTGGAGAGGAAACAAACAGGTCGAAGAGGCGGGGATGGAGCCAGTAAAGGTGAGTGTAGGTAGGGAGTTAGGAAGGGGATAGGTCAGTCCAGGGAGGACGGACAGGTCAAGGGGGCGGGATGAGGTTGGTTGGTAGGAGATGGAGGTGTGGCTTGAGGTGGGAGGAGGGGATAGGTGGGAGGAAGAATAGGTTAGGAAAGCAGGGACGCTCAATACCATGAGTGTAGATATTGTCACGGTTGGGGCCAAATTGGGAAGGCTTGAATCCTCTATCCCTCTTCTATCCGCCTCCCACTCTCTCCCTATTTATTTCAGAACCCCCTTCCCCTCCCCCTTTTCTGATGAAGGGTCTAGGCCCGAAACGTCAGCCTTCCTGCTCCTATGATGCTGCTTGGCCTGCTGTGTTCATCCAGCTCTGCACCTTGTTGTCTCGGATCACGAAAGTTTCTGATTCGTGTGGCCGTGTTTAGGACATATCCCAATCCACACTATTGTTATTTCTCTCCCCGATCTCCGACGTTCACTGACTTTACCTTCTACTTTTTCTCCTTCATCCAACGTCCTCATTGCATTTGGAGTAATAGAGGGTCACGTTTCTAACCAAGACCCGCACCTTTTGTTGAAACACCAAACATCACACACCTCAACCATTCAGCCCCGCCCCCTCTCATCCTATTGGCCGAAAGCCACAATCAGCCCGCTGGAACAGTTACCTGGGTACATTTCAGCCGAGCCATGAGAAGAGAGATTGATAGATTTAACAACTTTGAGGAACACCTGAGGAACAATGTTCTGAATTTTTATGTTGTCCTTCCATACAATCATCTTGCTAATTCACATTTCGAAGGTATAAGGAGGACAGGATTTACAGTTCGGCCTCGAAACCAACATAGAAAATCACGCTAATCATTACGACCTGAATATCGTCAGACTTTAAACGGAAAAGGAGAATTATTTGACTGAGGGATGGATGACCTTATAAAATCATAGCTAAGGTCTTTTTCCCAGGGTAGGAGAGCTCCAAAATTGGAGGACATGGATTAGAGGTGAGAGGGGAAAGATTGACAAGGGACCTGAGAGACAACTTTTTCACGCAGAGGGTGGTGTACGGAATTAGCTATCAAAAGAAGTGGTAGAGGCAGGCACAATTATAACATTTAAAAGGCACTTTTTTGGGGGGGAATAAATAGGAAAGATTTAGAGTGATACAGGACAAACATAGGCAAATGGGTGTGACAATGCAGTGTATTTTTTCTTACGAAGTCTGTGGCAGAGGTAACAAGCAGTCTGCTCCAAAACTAACAAACAGCTTGTGAGAGAACACAGCGCGGAGCTGGAGGAACACAGCAGGCCAGACAGCATCAGAGGAACAGGAAAGTTGACCTTTCTTCAGAAATGGGGGAGGGGGAAGGAAGTTCAGAAATAAGTAGAGAGAAGAAGGGTGGGACTGGGGAAGGTAGGTGAGATGATGATAGGTGAGTGCAGGTAGGGACTAGTGGGGATTGGTCAGTGAGGTGGGAGGAGCGGACAGGTGGGAGAGAAGATGGACAGGTTGTGTCAGGTCAAGAAGGTGGGGATGAGAGGGAGGGTTGGTCATGGGATGAGGCCGGGGGTGGGGAGATTTTGAAACTGGTAAAATCCACATTCAGGCCATTGGGCTGTCGGCTCCCAAGGCGGAATATGAGGTGCTGCTCTTCCAGTTATCCGAGTGGAGTCATTGTGACACTGGAGGAGGCCCAAAATGGACATGTCACCCAGGGAGCGGGAGCAGTTCATGACCAGTGACTGATGACCGGAAGGTGTTGTCGTTTGTCATGAACAGAGTGCAAGTGGTCCACAAAGCGGTCTCCGAGCCTCCGCTTGGTCTCACTAATGCAGAGGAGGGCACATCGGGAGCAGCAGATGCAGTAGACCACATTGATGGATGTGCAGGTGAACCTCTGTCTGATGTGAAAGGTTTGTTTGGTGCCTTGAATGGAGGTGAGGGGGGGGAAGATGTAGGTGCAGGTGTAGCACTTCCTGCGGTTACAGGGAAAGGTGCAAGGGGTGGTGGGGCTAGTGGGGAGTGTGGAGCGGACGAGGGAGTCGCGGAGAGAGCGGTCCCGAGGAAAGGCAGATAGGGATGGGGATGGAAATATATCTTTGGTTGTGGGGTCAGATTGTAGGTAGCAGAAGTAGCGGAGAATGATACATTGGATACGGAGGTTAGTAGGGGTGATATGTGAGAACAAGGGGGATTCTGTCTTCGTTTTTGTTGGGAGGGGTGTGAGGGCAGAGGTGCAGGAAACGCAAGAGATGCGGTCAAGAGCATTTTTGAACACTGGAGGGGGGGGAAGTTGTGGTCCTTGAAATAAGAGGTCTTCTGGGATGTTTGGGAGTGGAACGCCCCATCTTGGGAGCAGATGCAGTGGAGGCGGAGGAAAAGGGAGCAGGGGATCGCATTCTTGCAGGAAGGTGGGTGACAGGAGGTGTAGTCTGGTGGCTGTGGGAGTCAGTGGGCTTGAAATAGATGTCAGTTTCAAGGCGGTCACCAGAGATTGAGACACAGAGGTCCAGGAAGAAGAGCGAAGTATCAGAGATGGTCCAGGTGAACTTGAGGTTGGGGTGAAAGGTATTAGTAAAGTTGATACAGCCATCGATGTAGCGGAGGAAGAGGTGGGAGTTAGTGCCAGCGTAGCAGTGGAAGAGGGGCTGTTCTACGTATCCTATGAAGAGCTAGGCATAGCTTGGGCCCATGCAGGTTCCCATGGCCACGCCCTTAGTCTGTAGGAAGTGGGAGGAGTTAAAGGTGAAATTGTTTAGGGTAAGGACGAGTTTGGTTAAGCCGATGAGGGTATCGGTGGAGGGGGACTGGTTGGGTCTGCGGGAGAGGAAGAAGCGTAGGGCTTTTAGGCCAAATGCGTGGGGAATGCAAGTGTACAGGGATTGGATGTCCATAGTGAAGATGAGGTATTGGGGGCCAGGGAAGTGGAAATCTTGGTGGAGGTGGAGAGTGTGGGTGGTGTCCCAGAGTTGGTGGGGAGTTCCTGGACCGGGGGAAGAAAACAGAGTCAAGGTAAGCAGCGATAAGTTCAGTGGGGCAGGAGCAGGCAGAGACAATGGGTTGACTGGGACAGTCAGGTTTGTGGATTTTCGGAAGGAGATGGAAACGGGAGGTGCGGGGTTGGGGAACGATGAGGTTGGAGGCTGTGGGTGGGAGGTCACCTGAGGTGAAGAGGTTGTGAATGGTTTGAGAGATGACGGTTTGGTGATCAGGGGTGGGGTCATGATCGAGGGGGCGGTAGGAGGAGGTGTCAGAGAGTTGGCGCCTGGCTTCGGCGATGTAATGGTCAGTGCGCCATATCACTACTACAACCCCTTTATCTGCAGGTTTGATGGTGAGGTTATGGTTGCAGCGGACAGAGCGGAGGGCTGCGTGTTCCGTTGGGGACAGCTTGGAGTGAGTGATGGTGGTGGAGAGGTTGAGGCAATCGATTTCGCGATGGCAGTTGGAAAAGAAGAGGTCGAGGGAGGATAGGAGGCCGTGGGGTGGGGTCCAGGAGGATGAGGTTTGTTGGAGGTGGGAAAAGGGGCCTCCAGAGGGTGGGCTAGACTCCCTGTCAAAGAAATAGGCGCGGAGGTGGAGGCAGCGGAAAATGAATTTGACATCCAGACATGAGCGGAATTCTTTGATATGTGGGCACAGGGGAATGAAGGTGAGTCCTTTGCTGAGGACTGATCATTTGTCCTCAGTGAGGGGGAGGTCTGGGGGGGATGGTGAAGACGCAGCAGGGCTTGGGTGTACAGCTGTTGGCTGGGTTGGAGCTGGGTGTGGGGGTAGAGTTAGTGATGTCATCAGCGACGTTGGCGGTGGATGCGGCAACGTCGGCGACATCAGGGGTGTGAGTGGCGACGTTGGCAGAAGTGATGTCATCTTTGATGTTGGCGGTGAGAGCGGTGTCCATTCCAATCTCTCCCCCACAGAACGTGTAGCCCTCTGCTCTAACCCTAATCTCACCATCAAACCTGCAGGAAAAGGGGGCGCAGTAGCGGTATGGCACACTGACCTTTACATCGCTGAAGCCAGGCTCTAACTCTCTGATACCTCCTTGCCCCCTCGATCATGACCTCACCCTTGACCACCAAAACATCCTCTCTCAAACCATTCATAACCTCATCACCTCAGGTGACCTCCCACCCACAGCCTTCAACCTCATTGTTCCCCAACCCCGCACCGCCCATTTCCATCTCCTTCCCAAAATCCATAAACGTGACTGTCCCGGCTGACCCATTGTCTCTGCCTGCTCCTGCCCCACTGAACTTATCTCCGCTTACCTTGGTTCTGTATGTAGACAACAGCAATGCATTTGATGTAGTCTACTTGAACCTCAGCAAGTCTCTTCATCAGATCCTGCATGAGACACCGATAGCGGAGGTAAGATTCCATATGATACAAGGATATTTGGCAGATTAAATCCACAATGCTCAAGTGGCAGGAAGCAGAGGATGATGACTGAGGGGTATTTTGTGACTGAATGCCTATACACATTGATGTTCTGCAGGGATCAGCACTAAAGCCCTTGCAATGTAAAGCATATATAAACAATTTAAAATTTAATATAAGAGGGTTAATCAGTAAGTTCGTACATGATACGGAAATGGTGGAGTGGTGGAGCCTTAAATCAGAGAGGGGTATAGATCATTTGGTCAGATGGGCTGATCAGTGGCAATTGGAATTCAAAAATCCAGATAAATGTGAGGTGATGCTCTTAGGCAGGAGAAACAAGGCAGGGGAATACCAGATGAGCGGTAAGACTGTGGGAAGCACCAAGGCTTAGAGGGACCTTGCTGTGCATATCCATTGTTCCCTTAAAGTAGCAGGTAGATAAAAGTGGTTAAAAAGGCATATTGGATACTTGCCTTTATTAGCTGAGGCACAGATTTTAAAAGCAGGAAGGTTATGTTGGAACTGCATGAAATATTGGTTAGGCCACATTGAGAGTATTGTGTGCAGTTCTGCAGTCCACATTAAAGGAGGGATGTGATTGCATTGGAGAGGCTGCAGAGGAGATTTCTCAGAATGTTGCCTGGGCTGGAGAGGTTTTGTTATGAACAGAGATTGGATAGATTGATGTTGATTTTCTTGGAACAGAGGAGACTAAGGGATCACATGATTGCGGTGGATAAAAGTATGAGGGTCACAAAGGTGGTAAACCGGAAGAAACTTTTCCCCTTTTACCACGAGAGTGACACCGAGTAAAACCTCAGACAGTTCCTAAGTAAGAATTCCTATGGTTCCTCACCAGATATGAATCAGGATACTGAACAGCTTCCTCACAGTCCACTCCCTGAGCCTGCAACCTTCAGTGGAGTCAGTGGTGGAGTTTACGTCGGGAATGATCCCAGATTCACTGTCAGGATCACATCTCTTGTGGATATTCCAGGTTGTAGATCTTTACATATATACACACACACACACCCCCCCCCACAATAAAACAGGGGATTCTGGGAAACATGACACGTCCTTCTTTGTCTGGAGATCAAATATCTATTGTATAGATTTACCAGTAGTGACTAAGTTCCTGCGTAATCTGCCATCTGTTACTTTATTGCAGAGCATAAACAATTGATTTAAATTTTAAAGGAATTAACACCTACGTTAAAACAGTAAGGCTCAGGTCTGTCAGGTAGAAATATTACACCTTCACAGAATAATGACTAGTATCACTGTCAGACTGGAAACTTAAACCTCCCGTTTCACTTTCACTCAGGAAAAGATCCCAGTTTGACCCCAATCTCTGATTTGACAGCACGTTTGCAGTATTCCCCGTTGTTCTTACTGACTCTAAACTCAGTTGTAAAGGAGCTTGTGTTTCATGTCTAGGAGCTGCAAATCATGGAGAAGAGCGGCTGGGACACATTTCTTCCCCGCCTCAGGATGAACCTACAGAGGGATTTTGCTGTCGGTGAACAGAGATGAGAAAGACCCAAGTCCTGTTTGTCCTTCTCAATGTGGCCCTGGAGGACTGTGCCCAGGCTGACATTCTGTTTATGCTGTAGTGCCCCCAGATTGTCCTTGCTGAGCTCCAGTCAGGCAATGATCATATTTAGGGAAGGTGATGGCTTGGGGTATTAAAGTTTTGGCAAAGATTTGTAACTCGGGTTGTGGATGAGGTTGTTGACTTGCTCCCCGAGCTGGCTTGTTTTCGTTCAGACATTTCGTCACCATGCTAGGTGACATCATCAGTGAAGCCTCCAATAAAGCGATGTTATTCTACTCCGCTTGGAATTTATACTGTCTGGTCCGTTATGGTGAGTACTGTCATTTCTGGTTTTGATCTGTATGGGTTTGTAAATGCGGTCCAATTCTAGATGTTTGTTGATTGAAGTATGGGTGGAGGAATTCCTGTGTATGTCTACGTTTAACTTGGGCTACTATGGTTACCTTGTCCCAGTTAAATTGATGACCTTCATGGTCTGACTATACCGATATTAAGGTGCATTCAGACAATGAAGGCCATCAATTCAACTTGGACAAGGTAACCATAGTAACCCAAATCAAACATAGACACTCACAGGAATTCCTTGAGGCATGGTTCTCCACCCATACTTCAATCAACAAGCATCTAGAATTGGACCCCATATACAAACCCATACAGATCAAACCCAGAAAATGACAGTACTCACCATAACGGACCGGACAGTGTAAATTCCAAGCGGAGTAGAATAACATCGTTTCATCGGAGGCGCCACTGATGAAGTCACCCAGCATGGTGATGAAACATCTGAACAAAAACAAGCCAGGTCAGCGAGCAAGTCAACAACCTAGTGGTATTATCGCTAGCCTAGAAATCTGGAAATCCATGTAATGTTCTGGGGACATGGGTCTCAATCCCATCAAGTCAGACGATGGAATTTAAATTCATAAAAATCTGGAATAAAAAGTCTAATGATGACTATGACACCATTGTCAATTGTAAGCGGAAGCCCATCTCGTTTACTAATGTCCTTTTGGAAAAAGAAACTGCCATCCTTACCTGGTCTGGCCTACATATGACTTCATGTCATATGAGCAATGTGGTTGACTCTCCACTGCCCTCTGGTCAAATAGGAATGAGTAATGAATGCTGGCCTGGCCAGTGATGCCCACATCCTGTGAATAATTTAAAAAAGTGATCATCAATACTCAGGTGGAAAAGACAGAAAGCAACAATGATGTCCTGCATCCAAGGCTGATTTATTTGATATTTATTCAGAAGAGTAAACTCCAACCCAGTTACAGGAATTATTAATACCGCCAGAAACAACCAGCTACTGTCAGAATGAACATGGTGCTCAATGTTGTGGGTGAGATAACCAAGTGAACCCACAGAGAACAGTTACATGTTTCTCACCAATGTGAATAGGTTTGCGTTTCAGCAGATTTGTTTTGATTTAAAATCTCTGCTCACGTGGAGACCTTTGAAACAGGTTTTTGTCAGTGTGAACATGTTGCTGGGTGCTGAGGTGGGAATGAGTGACTTGAATTTCTTCCCGTATTGAGAGGACATGAATGGTTTCTCCTCAGTGCGACTGTGCTGGTGGATTCTGAGTGTGAATTCACGAGTGTGCAAGCAGGTCTGAGGAATCAGTGAATCCATTCCCATACATGGAGCAGGTGAATGCCCTCTCCCTGGTGTGAACTCACTGGTGTGGCTGACCCCCTTCCCACAGTGAAAGCAGATGGAGGGACTGGAACCACAATGGGTGCACTGTCTGTGAATGTGGATTTTACAAAAACATGCCACTGGTGAAGCACTGACACTCTCTCTCCAGTATTAACTAGCTGGTGACTATGGAAGCTGTATGGAGAAAGGTGTAAAGTTATGTCTCTAATATGGGGAGGTTTAGAGACAGTTTGGCCTGGTGGCTAGTAAAAAGGAGGCAGCTGATGGAATTGTCTCAATCATAGAATCTTCATAAGTTCCTCATACTTGTTGGCAGCGAGGATAGAGAATGCAGGTGAGAGGGAGTGCCCTTCAAAAGGACCTAACATGTCAGAGTCTTAGAAAGATTCAATTCCCTGGTTTACACAATACTGATTTGAATGTTATACGTAATATTAACTTCATAAACTGATCTGGAGTTGAGGAGGAGATTATAGTACGGTGGGAATGTCACTGGACTAGTGATCCAGCATCAAACCTCCCACAACAGTGTGGTTGGGATGTCACTGAACTAGTGATCCTGATGTTAATGTTCAGTGGATACTGGGTCAATCCCGGAGAGCAGCTTGTGCAATGTAAATTCGATATGTAAAGTCTGGAATTGAAAGCAGGTCTCCATAGTCAGCTATGAAACTACCAGTGATCGTTGGAACAACTGATCAGGTCCAACCTGGTCTGGCAAACATATGAGTCCACACCCACAATAATGTGGTGACTCCTAACTACCCTCTGAAACGGCCCAAAAAGGCACTCTGTTGGACAACAAGTAACAAACAGCTTCATCCAATGAAACTAAGTCGAAACTAGTTTCCTAAAATCTGCAGAAAGAGACCCTGATAAACCTGGTTCACTGCTGGATGTGACTGACAGCAAAATCCAATCACTTGTGACCTTGTTGATGTCTCAGCAGGTTGGATGAGTGAGTGAATTCTTTCACGCTGGGGAGAGGCTGTTCACCTCCTCTGAGTACGGGAAGGAATTCACTCACTCATCAACCTGCTGAGACACCAACAAGTTCACAATAGATTGGATTTTGCTGTTAATCACATCAGCAGTAAAGAGCCTCTCTCTCTAATATCCTGTGAAATTGGTCTAGAACAGAAAAAGAGGGAATGATAAAGATCTCGTGAAAACGTAAAATTAAGCCGGTTCAAATTCCATCAAAGTTTTTGACGAATTTATTGGGCCCTAAAAGATGCTGCATTGTCACTGAAACCTCCTCTAAGAGTGAAGGGCAAGGACAGCACGCGCTGGGAACACGGGATGTCAAGGGATACCGAGAGTTGGATAAAGAAATAAGATGGAAGTATCTGTCAGGTACAGGACATCAATCCAGTGGAGTACCTTGTATCTTGGGCAGATGGGAATCAAGGAAAACCCCAAAGCATTTTATATGAAGGGTAAGAGGATTAAGGGAAACAATGGGACCTATTCGAGTCCAAAGGGGCAACCTGCGTATGGAGCCAGTGGACATGGGTAAGGTCTTAAATCAATACTGTTCATTTGCATTCACAGATGAGAGGGACATTGTAGCTGGAGATTTCAGTTGATATGCTGAGGTCCGAGAAGATGTTAAGATTAATAAAGGTCAGAAGTCACACGACACCAGGTTATAGTCCAACAGGTTTATTTGAAATCACAAGCTTTTGGATTGCTGGCTCCTTTGTCACTTCACCTGACAAAGGAGCAGTGCCTTGTGCTTTCAAATAAGCCTGTTGGACCAGAACTTGGTGTTGTGTGACTTCTGACCTTGCCAACGCCAGGCCAACACTGGCACCTCCACATCAAGGTCAATTAAGGAGGAGGTATTTGATGTTTTATCCGGTATAACGGTTCCTAAACCCCCAGGGTCTGATGAGATGTATCCCAGGTTGCTAGGGAAGGCAAGGGAAGGAGATTGCCAGGGCTCTAGCAGGTATATTTAATACTTTGGTGGCCACAAGTGAAGTGCCAAATGGCTAGAGGATAGCTAATATGTTTCCTTTATCCAAGAAGTGTAGCAGGGCTAGGCCACGTAATTAGAGATCAGATAGTCTGACGTCTGTGTTAGGGAAATTATTGGAAAAAAATTCTGAAGGACAAGACTAATCAACATTTGGAAAGGAAAGGATTGATCAGAGATAGTCAGCATGGATTTGTTACAGGGAGGTCCTGTTTGACTAAGTTAATTGAGATTTTTGGGAAGGTGACTACATATTTTGATGAGGGTTGTGCAGTTGATGTGGTTTACATGGACTTCACTAAGGCCTTTGACAGTGTCCCACATGGAAGGGTGATCCAAAAGGTAGAAGCGCATGGAATCGAAGACAAGTTGGCAAATTGGATTCAAAACTGGGTTACAAATAGTAGGCAAAGAGTGGTGGTGGAGGGGTCTTTTTGTATTTGGAAGCCTTGTGACCAGTATGGGGACTGGTGCTGGGACTTGTTGTTTGCATGTACATTAATGACTTGGATGTGAACATGGAAGGTAGAATTGGTAAGTTTGCAGATGACAAGAACAATTGTGTTGTTGATAGTGATGAGGATGATCTCAAGCTACAGTCTGATATTGATCAGCTGGTAAATTGGGCAGATCAGTGGCAGATGAAGTGTAATCCCAATAAGCGCGAAGTGGTGTATTTAGGAGTTCTAAAAAGAGAAGGATTTACATGATAAATGGTCAATCCCTAGGGAGTACTGAGGAATAAAGGAACCTTAGTGTAGAAGCCCATAGATCTCTGAAGGTGTCAGCAACGTTGACAGGGTGGTGAAAAACTCAGATGGAATGCTTGCCGTCATTTACTGGGGCATATAATATAGGGGAAAGGAAGTCATATTAAGGCCACAGATGGAAGACTGTATGAGGTTTTGCTTACACTATTGGGAGCATGTGATTACACTGGAAAGGATGCAGAGGAGATTAACCAGGAAGTTGTCTGGGGGATGATAAGTTTCAATTATGAGGAGCGACTGGAATAGGCTGGGTTTGACTCCCCCGGAACAGAGGCGGCTTGGATGGGGATGGGGGTCTGATTGAGGTCTACAAAATTATGAGAGGCATAGACAGATTACATTCTGCAAATCTCTCCCCATTGGAAGACAGATCTAAGACCAGTAGACATGATGGAAAGAGGAAAGTGGTTTTTTTGAGGAGATCAGAGAAAAATAACTTTACCCACAGGGTGGTAGATATATGCAACATGCCTGACGGAGTGGTGGGGACAGGTAGTCTCGCAACATTTAAGAAACATCTGAATGACTACTTAAAATGCCAGGGCATAGTAGGCTATGGACCAAGTGCAAGAAAATGGGATTTGTGTTTGTTGGTCAGCATAGATATAGTGGGCAGAAGGGCTTGTTTCTATGCTGCACATCTCCTTGAAATCAAACTGATTCACTAATGTCCCTCAGGGAAGGGCCTGTACAAGACTCTGGTTTCTATAGCAGGACAAAGTGAGAGGTGGACGAGACAGGAAGGAAAAGGATTTTAAATATTTACAACTCAACCAGAACTTTCACAGAATATCCCAACACCTCGCTCTCCCAAAATCTCAACCTCCACCATCTGAAAGGACCATGCAATCAGGCGTCTGAGACGACCATCACCTCCCAGCCACACACTGTCCTGACTTGTCTGACATCCAGCACTGGGTGAGCCGAAATTTCCTCCAATTAAATATGAGGACGACTGAAGCCACTGTTTTCACTCCCTTTTACAAACTGCACTCCCTCAGCACTAACTCCATCCCTCTCCCTGGTAACTGTCCGAGGCTGAACCAGACTGTTCACAAACCATGATGAAATATTTCACCCAAGATGTGCTTTCAACCGCATATCCCCATCATCATTCAGACCGCCTCCCATTTCCAGCTCAGGAACACTGCCCGGTTTCACCCCAGTCTCATAGCATCTGCTGCCAAAACGCTCATCCATTCCTATGTTACCTCTAGGCTTAACTATCCTTACACACACCCGGCTGGCCTCCCGCAATCAACTTCCCTGCAACCTTGAAGACATCCGAAACTGTGCTGCCCGAGTGCTGCTTCGTATGCAGTCTGCTCACTGACCTACACATTTCCTGGATGACAAATCACCAAAATATTGAACTTCCTGTCCTTATTCAGAAAATTAAGCCATAGCGCATCCCACCCTTGGTAATCTCCTCTAGTCTCACAAACCTCTGAGATACAGTGTATTCTAAATTTCAACCACGTAGGCATTCCTAATTTTAAGGGTCCCATCTCTATCACCATGCTTTCACTTCCAACGCAATGAGCTTTTCAGTTTACTCCCTAAATCTCCCTGATTTTTCAAACTCACTTTCTTTCTTCAAGTTGCTCCTTAAAACTTACTCTATATTTGGTCTAATATCTCCATAGGTGGCCTGGTATCAAATATTGTTTTATGACTATTCTGTGTGTATTCTCAGATCATTGTATAACATTAAAAATGTGAAAAAATACAGAATTGTTAATTTGGTCAAATACCCTGGTCCTTCACTATCACTTGATAACTCCTTAGCCAACAGCATTGTGGGAGCACCTTCACCAGACAGACTGCAGCAGTTCAGCAAGTTGAAGCATCATCTTCTCCACAAATAATGGGATTGGTAACATTTACTGATAGCTGTGGACGGAAACACACAATTAATACTTCAGGACATACTAAACAAATGAGAGAGAATAAACATGGTGCTAAATCTGAAAGCTAATGCAAGCACTGCAGCAGAAGTGAAAAGGATTACAGTGCAGGAAGGAAAATACTCGACTGAGAAATATACTCTTGGAAAGTACAGCTTCTAAATTACAGCATATGGTCAGGAAATGACCTGAACTTAAACTTGAGAGGGTGCAGAAAATAATTACAATGATGATGCCAGGAGTGGAAGGTTTTAGCTATAGGGAGAGGCTGAATAGGCTGGGGATATTTTCCCTGGAGCGTCGGAGGCTTAGGGGTGACCTTATAGAGGTTTGTAAGATTCTGACGGGCATGCGTAGGGTCAAAAACCTAGGTCTTTTTCCCAGGTTGGGGAGTCCAAAACTAGAGGACATAGGTTTAAGGTGAGACGGGAAAGATTTAAAAAGGACCTGAGGGGCAATTTTTTCATGCACAGAGTAGTGCATGTATGGAACAAGCTGTCAGGGGAAGTAGTGGAAGTGGTTACAATTACAACATTTAAAAAGCACCTGGATGACTGTATGAATAGGAATGATTTAGAAGGATGTGGGCTAAATGATGCAAAGGGACTAGTTCAGATTAGGATATCTGGTCAGCGTGGATGAGTTGGACAAAAAGGTCTGTTTTCATGTTATGCGACTTTTTGAGATATGGTGGAAACCTCATCCAGACACAGATGAGGGAAGAACCGAATTACAGTGATGTATTAAAATGGGAGCAGATCCACATTAAAGGAGACACACCAGCCCAAAAGCCACAGAATCTCTCACAGGTAACAGGCACAATACTAAAAGCCGAAAATTGTTCATGAATGGTCAAAAATACTAAACAATATCCCCGTTTTCAATTTGAAACTCTCCTGGAGCCTAGAGCGCTGGAAAGATATCAGAAACACTGGAGACAGTGAACAATCTGACAGTTACAGAAATCCCCAGGGAGTAGGTGATGTCACTGTGAAATTGTTGTTGTGTGATGACATCACACATGGGAACAGAGAATATCTGAGTCTGTGCAAACCAGGGATCACCACACATTGTGAAGGATGGCATGGCCATTGAGAAGAGACAGAATGGCTCGTTCACCAGAATGGTTCAGGACCGAAGTATCTGTGATGTGAGGGCGCAAGTAAGAGATTTGACAGACCTGTAAAGGTTTATGATTCTAAGGTAGATATAAACAAGACATTCACATCAGCTGATCAGAAACAGATTATGGAATGCAAATTTAAATTTTGGACAAGGGGTTGACAGGGAGGATGTGATGAAGAAATTATATGCAGTAACATGTTAATGACTGGGAAGGCAACACTTACACTCAAAGACCAATAATACCCAATGTCTGATAATTCCACTGACTCTGTCAGATTCTTATGTGATGTTTGGTTGGAGTTTCCTGTCTGTGAATTCACTTCAAATATTCTGCAAAAGAAGTTTAGAAAAGACAGTGTCAGTCAAGGTTAGAACTCAGATAAGTTATTCCCTATGTTTGATCTTTCTTATGTGTTTATGTGTGTGTGTGTCCTTCCAAGCCTCAGTGAGAGAAGTTTCTAAAATATATGACTGTCAGTCCAGGATAGAATATAACACAATATCAGGTTACACATTGTTTATATCTCCATCAAAGCTGTCTGTCCTACCAGGTCTCTCCAGCACCGTCTGTTTTTATAGAATCCCTACAGTGTGGAAGCAGGCCACTCGGCCCACCAAGTCCGCACTGACCCTCTGAACAGCAAAGCACCCAAACCAACATCCTCCACCCTATCGCTGTAACCCTGCATTTCCCGTTACGAATCCACCTAGATTGCACATCCCTGGACACCCTGAACACCCTGAACAATTTTAGCATGGCCAGTCCATACAACCTGTATACCATTGTGGGAGAAAACCAGAGCACCTGAGGAAATCTGCACAGGCATAGGGAGAAAGTGTACACTCCACACAGTCACCTGAGGGTGGAATCGAACCCAGGTACCTGGTACTGTCAGGCAACAGGGCTAACCACTGAGCCACCGTGCCACCCCAATTTACTTTAGAAATTCACCATATCCATCAACTCCCTCCTAGCCCAGGTAAGTACATATGCTCCCTGCTGCACATTGTCCCTCAATTCTATGGTGACATCTAATCAGGGTCATGAGCAACTGCCCTGGGTCTTCATGTGACTGACCACATCTTTGGGCAGCACAATGGCCCAGTAATTAGCACAGCAGCCTGACAGCACCAGGAAGCCGGGTTTGATGCAACCCTAAGGTAACTTTCTGCGTGGAGTATGCACATTCTCCCCGTTTTTTGCATGGGTTTCCTTTGTGCGCTCTGGTTTCCTCCCACAGTCCAAAGATTTGCAGGTTAGTTGTATTGGCCATGCTAAATTGCCCATAGTGTCCAGAGATTTGCAGACTAGATAGATTAGCCATGGGAAATGCAGGGTTACAGGGATCGGTTAGGGGGTGCATTTGGACGGAATGCTCTTCAGAAGGTCAGTGTGGACTTGATGGGCCGAATGACTGTTTCCACATTGCAGGGATTCTTTGTGGAAAGCACACTGAGCAGTTTGTCTCATGAGGTAATGGGATCATGATAACATTTTTCTGAAGAAGGGTCTAGGCCCGAAACGTCAGCTTTCCTGCTTCTCTGATGCTGCTTGGCCTGCTGTATTCATCCAGCTCTACACCTTGTTGTCAAAGATTCTCCAGCATCGGCAGCTCCTACTATCTCATGATAGTAGGATTTGCTTCCTTTTCTTTCCTTGTCTGCAGCCTTTCTGTCTCATCAATAAGACACGGAGGTGTGAAAGGCTAATGCAACTTGACTGACAGGTTGTCTCCATTCTGAACAATGGGCAGTAAGCTTTTACAAAGATGGCATCCACACACGCGCCCCCCAGTCCAGTGCCCTAAACAAAGATGGCGGATAGTGCCGAGGCCTTCCCCGGGCGGAAGACTGGAGTCGTCGGCCCGTTTGGTGCAAACGTGGGCCCAGGAGTCTCTTCTTCGAATTTTACATTTGCACAAAAGATTTACGAAGTCTTTCCGTCCACCTGCCAGATTCACTGCGCTCTGCGATCCGCTTCATTTTCACCGTTTGCGGAGCCGAAAGGAACACCACCGACCACAGCCATCGCCCATTCAGCGCATGCTCCGTTCTGTATTCCCCGTTGCGCCTGCGCACTTCTCCGTTGTGTGGATAGGGTACATTCACTGCCGCGCGGAATGCTGGACTTTTGATCTGCCGTACGTCTGTTTCATGGAGTGGGTCTACACACACGAGATCCAAGAAATTCTGTAAGACTTATAACATAGGCTGACACCGTCTTTACTAAATTTATTTTCCAGAATATTTGAAGATTTGCAGATTGGAAACTGCAACCAAACGTCGTATAAAAATGTGACGGAATCAGTCGAATCAACAGATCCTGGATATTATTGTCCTTTGAGTTTTAAATATCAAATTCCTTGCCATTGCCATGCACTGCATACAATTTCTTTATTACATCCTCCCTGTCGATCATGTCGAAAATCTTAAATTTGTATCCCATGTTCCATTTTCTATCAGCTAACGCGACCATCTTGTTTTTTATCGACCTTTTCTAAACCAATCATAAACCTATAAGCCCGGTCAAATTTCTCTTAGCTTCAATTGCTCCGCTGCATCACAAATCTGTCAGTCCTGAAACTTTCTGCTGAATGAATGAGTCTATCCTTTATCAGCAACCATCCCATCCCTCAACAATGTGTGGTGATCTCTGTTCTGAGTACACGTGGTCATCCTCGGCCGGGAGGATAGATACTGTGAGTTTCTGAAATAAAGGAAAGGGTGTTGGAGGACACTAAAGGGTGTTGTGAGCCTAATCAAAAAGAAAAAAAAGAAGCATTTATCAAGGCTAGAAGGCTGAGAACACAGGAAGCAAGGGTAGAATACAAGGAAAGTCGAATGAAACCTAAGCAAGGAGTCAGGAGGGCTAAAAGGGGTCTTGAAAACTCATTGGCCAATAGGATTAAGGAAAATCCCAAGGCTTTTGATACATATATAAAGAGCAAGTGGGTGGCCAGGCAGAGGGTTGGCCCACTCAAGGACAGGGAAGGGAATTTATGTGTGGAGGAAATGGGCGAGGTATTAAATGAGTACTTTGCATCAGTATTCACCACAGAGGAGGACTTGGTGGATGATGAGTCTGGGGAAGGGTCTGTAGATAGTTTGGGTCATATTGAGATCAAAAGGGAGGACGTATTGGGGGTCTTGAAAAACATTAAGGTAGACAAGTCCCCAGGGCCTGATGGGATATACCCCAGAATACTAAGAGAGGCAAGGGAGGAAATTGCTGGGGCCTTGAGGGAAATCTTTGTATCCTCACTAACTCCAGGGGAGGTCCCAGAGGATTGGAGAAAAGCCAATGTTGTTCCTTTGTTTAAGAAGGGCGTCAAGGATAATCCAGCTAATTACAAGCCAGTGAGCCTTACATCAGTGGTAGGGAAATTGTTGGAGACGATTCTTCGAGACAGGATGTACTCAGTGGCCATATTAGCGAGAAGCAACATGGTTTTGAGAAGGGGAGGTCGTGTCTCACTAACTTGATTGAGTTTCTGAGGAAGTGACAAAGATGATTGATGAGGGTAAGGCAGTGGATGTTGTCTACATGGACTTTAGCAAGGCCTTTGACAAGGTCGCTCATGGCAGGCTGATACAGAAGGTAAAGTCGCATGGGGTCAGAGGTGAGCTTGCAAGATAGATTAAAAACTGGCTCGGTCATAGAAGACCGAGTAGCAGTGGAAGGGTGAGTTTCTGAATGGAGGAGTGTGAATAGTGACATTCCTCAGGGATCAGTGTTGGGACCTTTGCTGTTTGTAATATATATAAATGATTTGGAGGAGAATGTAACTGGTCTGATGACACAAAGGTTGGTGGAATTGTGGATAGTGATGAAGACCGTCAGAGCTGGATATAGGTTGGTTGATAACTTGGGCAAAGTGATGGCAGATGGAGTTTAATCTGGAAAAATGTGAGGTAATGCATTTTGCAAGGTCTAATCCAGATGGAAAATATACAGTAAATGGCAGAACCGTTAAGAGTATTGGCAGGCAGAGGGTGTACAGGTACACAGTCAGTGAAAGAGGCAACGTAGATGGAGAAGGTAGTCAACAAGGCATATGCCATGCTTGCCTTCACTGGCCGGGGCATTGAGTTTAAAAATTGGCAGGTAAAGTCGCAGCTTTATAGAACCTTAGTTTGGCTGCATTTGGAATATTGTGTTCAATTATGGGCGCCACACTACCAGAAGGATGTGGTGGGTTTGGAGAGGGTACAGAAAAGATTTACCAGGATGTTGCCTGGTATGGAGGCCATTAGCTATGAGGAGAGGTTGCAGAAACTTGGGTTGATCTCACAGGAACGACAGAGGTTGAGGGGCAACTGACAGAGGTCTACAAGATTATGAAGGGCATGGACAGACTGGACAGTCAGAAGCTTTCTCCCAGGGTGGAAGAGTCAGTTACCAGGAGCCATGGGTTTAAGGTGCGAGGGGCAAGGTTTAAAGGTGATGTACGAGGCAAGTCTTTTATACAGACGGTGGTGGGTGCCTGGAACTCGCTGCTGGGGGAGGTTGTGGAAGCAGATATTACAGTGACTTCTAAACGGCGTCTTGACCAATACATGAATTGGATGGGAATAGACGGATATGGTCTCCAGAAGGGTAGGGGGTTTTAATTGTGACAGGCAGCATGTCGGTGCAGGCTTGGAGGGCCAAAGGGCCTGTTCCTGTACTGTAATTCTCTTTGTTCTTTGGTCTTTGTTTTTTGACCCCAGTGGGATTGGAAGCCTCTATGGAGAGAGAAATAATGTTCATGTTTCGAGCTTGTTACTACTCTTTTCTCTCTGCATTGATATGATGGAATTTGGAAACTTCTTTCACTAAATCTTGGAAGGATAGATGTACACACAGAAAAGAAAAATCAAACAAAGGGAATCATTTGTATGTCTGATTTCTAAGCTGGACTGACACTGTTTTTACTAAAATCTTCTTTTACAGAATATTTAAAGAGGATTCATAACCAAACACTAAATCAAAATCTAACACAATCAATAGATACATCAAAAACTATTGGAAAAATTATTGGCATTTGAGTGTATGTATTGAGTTCCACTCACCGCATATAATTTCTCCATCATATGCTCCCTGTCGATCTGGACCTAAATTATACTTGTGTATCCTGTGATCCATTTCCTTTCAGTTAAAATGAATATATTGTTTTTATCTAACTTATTTAAAACAACAGTAAACGGTACAGCTCTGTCAAATCTCCCTTCAGCTTCAGTTACTCCTTCACATCATACATCTATCAATTTTGAATCCTTCTGGCAAATGAACCTTCCCTCCTCATCCTTCACAATGTGTGGGTGATCTCTAGTCTGCACAGACCCAGATGCTTTGTCTTGCTGTGGGTGAGGTCATCACAATGGAATAACTGCACAGTGACTGTGAGTTTTTTCTTTAATTCCGCATTTCTGATATTTTTCCAGCTGCAGGCTCCACAAGATAATTTCAAACTGAAAACAGTGATATTGTTGAGTGTTTTCCACCATTCATCAACAATTTTGAGCTTTTAGAGCTGTGCCTATTACCTGTGAGAGGTTCTGTGGCTCTTGGGCTGGTTTGCCTCTCTGGAATGGATCTGAATCCATTTCGATACATTGTTTCACGTCTACCTTCCCTCTGTCTGTAATAATGCAAATACTTGTGTCATATTTCTCTGTTACTTTATCCAGTTGTGTCCAGATGAGATTTCCACCACATTCCCGTGACCATATACTGTGGACTGAGAAGCTTTATGTTCCCACAATATCCTTCTCAGTCAAGTATTGTTCTTCCTCCACTGCAGTTTTTTTCTGCTTCTGAGCTTATATTAACAACCAAATTCTGCACTGTGTTTATTCTCTGAAATTCATTCAGCGTATATTGAAACATTGACTCTGTGTCTCTCTCCACAGATATCAGTAAATATTGCCAATCTTGGAGAAGATGATATTTGACCTTCTTGAACCGCTGCAGTCTGTGGAGTGAAGGTGTTCCTGCAACGCTGTTAGGTAAGGAGTTGTAATTGATAATGAAGGACCAGTGGTATTCGTCAAAATGATCAATAATTTGTATTGTTTTTACATTTTTTAGTGCCATCCAATGACCTGAGATATTACAGAGGATTGTCATAAAACAATATTTGACACCAGGCCACATATGGAGATATTAGGAAAGATGACCAAAGGCTGGACCAGAGAGGTAGGTTTTAAGGAATATCATAAAGTCATAGGGCCATACAGCACAGAAACAGACTCTTTAGTTCAAATAGTCCATGCTGATCATAATCCCAAACTGAACAAGTCTGCACTTGGCCTCACATCCTTCCAAATATTTTCTAATCATGTACTTATTTAAACATTTTTTAACATTATAACTGTAGCTGCATCCACCACTTTGTCTCAAAGTTCATTCCACACACGAACCACGCTCTGCGTGAAAAAAATTGCCTCTCATTTCTTTTTTAAATCGTTCTCCTCTAACCTTAAAAATATGCCCCCTTGTCTTGAAAGACCTCACCACAGAGAAAAGACACCTTATCCATACCCTTCATTGTTTTATAAACCTCTATAAGGTCATGTCTCAACCTCAGACACTCCAGTGAAAAAAGTCCCAGCCTATCCAGCATCTCCTTTTAACTGAAATCGGCACCATCCTGGTAAATATCTTCTGAATCCTTTCCAGCTTAATAATATTCCTTCTATAACAGGCTGACCAGAACTGGACCACCACATACTGTAGAAGAGGCCTTACCACCGTCCTGTGCAAGCTCATTATAATGTCTCAACTACTATATTCAAAGGTCCTGAACAAAGGAAATGAAGTTGAAAATCAGGGAGGTTTGGGGAGTGAACTCAATAGCTTATGGTCTTGGAAACTGAAAGAATGAAAAAGGTTGGACAGGTAAAACCAGAAGTCCACAGGAGGTTGGAAATCAGGGAGTGTACATATCTCGGACAAAAAAAACCTAAAGAACTGCAGATGCTGGAAATCAGAAACGCAAACAGAAATTGGAGAAACTCAGCAGGTCTGGCAGCATCTGTGGAGAGTTAGCAGTGTTAACATTTCGGGTCCAGGGACCCTTCT